TACATATATATATTTGGAAGAAGACAGTACATATATATATTTGGAAGAAGACAGTACATATATATATTTGGAAGAAGACAGTACATATATATATTTGGAAGAAGACAGTACAATCGACAAAACAGGGGAAATACTCCTGCAAGTTCATTTATTTATTGCTTAAAATACCTATATTTATTCAATTTTTTATATATCTATATTTATAACATAAAAATTGGCATGGCGCCCGATATTTTTATTTCTAATCTAAATTTTTGTTTTTATTTTATTTATTAATTTATTGTAGGAGGACCAATATTACCGCCACCTTACGGAACTTACCCTTATGTGCAGACGTCTCCAGTGTTGCCGACAGTGGCTCCACTAACGCCACGTGTGCCCACCTATTACCCGCAGATTTTGTATTGGCCTTATCCGAGTCCTCCTGTGTCGCCAACTACATATTACAATCATACTGGACCTACCATGGTAATCATGCGCGGGCTCCCGTTTAACTCCGCTGTAGCTGACATTCTCAACTTTTTCCAGGGGTTTCCAGAGGTTAGGGGCTTTCTTTCTACTTTCTTGCTTGTTTTCGTTCTTGCCGCATGGAGGATACTAAGCGGGAGTGTTTTGGATTGTACTCTTAGCTACAAAACTGTCTTCAACATTTCTAAGGGATAGACGGCTTATTTTTCTTTCCCTGTCAGCTAGGTGGAGGGATCTTGGGAAGTTTACTTTTTTTGGCATCTATTAGGATGAAATCTATCCCTGTGATTACACTAGCATTAATTAATGTCAATGGAAATATTATTGAAGTATGTCTCAACATATAATAAATTGACATTTCTACGCTAAGGAGTTTTAAAACAAAATAATACTTATAATAACAAATAATTTTAATTACGATATTTTTAATAAAATAAACTCTACACAAGGGCTCATATAATTATTTTACCTCCCCATTTCTAAGAATGTTTTGGGGACACTAATATTTAATTTTGTTTTTCATGAATATCTGAAAATTTATCGGAGTTAACACACCAGTTAAAGCTACGTTCATTTAATAATTAGTTTTCACTTTTTTGTTAAACATTTTAACTACTTTACCATTTTTTAATAACGTTTCATAAAGAACGTTTAGATGGAAACCTCATTAAACGTTTCAGTGATTTGTTAGCTGGACTTTGGAGCATGTACTCTATTATCCTAACGGTTTCTTTTGATAGGCAGGTTCTTTTAGATTATTCCGTAAAAAAAAAGACAGAAGAGAAAGAAGCAAACTACAAGTTACACGTAACTAATGATAGGCATACTTCACAAATAAACAATGTATCAGTAGAAATTATAGTTACTTGTTAATTTGTTTGTACATACGATACTTCTCGTGTTTCCTTTACTTCGTTGTAAACCACCAACTAAATAAGTTATCGTAATGAATCAACAATGTGATTTAGAGTAGCCTAACACACGTTTTATATCGCTCAAAGCATTTTCTAACCGTTGTATAAAATTCTAGTCATTAAGCCACGCGCTTACCACATGACCTTAAAAACACCCTCTGTCCAAAAACAGTATGAACCTCTAAATTTTAAAAAAATGTAGATAACAATAGTATTAATCATTTGTAATAAAAACAAATGTTTATTTATTTTTTTTAGAAATTATTGACCAATGGTATATCATATATTCTGATACACGAAAACTTTGCCAATACAGGCATAAGAAGTTATGATTTATTATTTCTTCTATTCAGACAGGATACTTATTGATTAGTCCCAAAACCTAGCTTCTGTACTTAAAAACAAAACTAGTACAGTGATCTATTACTAAGTACGAATGTAATTTTTTCTCTCAAGCAAGATAATCATAAAATAACATTACTAAGTAATTTGTAAGTGATAGATTTGAACTATCGCCAAATTTTGGAGAGGTGTAGTTAATATTAGAATAACCCACATATCGAAACGTCTCACCAGACATGCTAAAACAGGTAGATTAACATTCCAAGAATATTAACCAGACTTTGTATTATAGTAAAAGCGCCATCTCTTGTCTTACGTTGAACGTTATTTAAAAAGTAAATGAATATATATAAAGTATTATCAAATCACCCATTTTTACGGTGGGAAACTTGGTGTTTTTCACGCTTTTAATGGAATCAGTTTCTCATAATATGTTAAATATATTTTGGCTAAAAAAATACGCCCGTTGTTTTTATAGATTGATTGTCAATACATCTGTCAATTTTTATTTTTTACTGCGGTATATAATATACATTGTTATGCTTTATCCATGTGATTAAAAGTAAGAGAGAATGTAAATAAGAAAAAAAAAAGTTATTTTTAACGTTATACCGTGTGTAACAGATAGCAACTGGAAATGCTGTTAATATAAAATTGAATAGAAATAAAATATTAGTATTCGATGCTATTACCGCTGATTAGCAAAGAAATAATAAAGAAGTAGCTTGCATCTTGAACCACCGCGAGTTTACCTGATTATTCTGTGTAAAAAAAAAAAATAAAGCTTAAATTACAAGCTATAATGTGAATGTGCATATACAATAACATAGTATGAGATGGGGCCGTGTGTGAGTCACGGGTGGAAAATGAAACCAGCAAGATGTCCAATGAGAAATGTGTGCTACAACCAAATCTAACATTATAGCAATTCACAACAACAGCAATCTAATGCGGTTTATCTGAAACCAGATCGCCCCTGTGGTAAGCTTGATGGTTTTAAAATTCAGGATTCGATCCCTGCGGTAGCTCAGTATAGATAGCTCATTGTGCATTTTTGTGCTTAACAGTAAACAAACATACCAGACCACACTCACATACGTAAGCGAATTATTTAGAATTCATTTAACCCTTTCCATGTTTCAGGTCCTTTAATTGGTTTTTATGGATACGCTTATTTGACCAATTACCTAAGTAGATATGAGCGAAACACATCATTAGTGAATGAAAATATAAGAAAAAATTAATAAAAAAATTAGTTTCATTCATCGTAGCTTTACATTTTATCTTGAATAAAAGTAACTTAACCTATTATCATTCACATGCGCCTTGAACGCCACATGTGATGCTCGCATGAAGCTCTCTTCCAATCTCATACGCGGAACCAAAACAACCAGTTCCTACTGCTACGTTCAGGAGCATCAGCTACATACCAATTAGATGTATCTGTGTGTCACACATGACACTCAGACTATTCAGCATTACGTCCTATTAATCACGTAGGGTTAAGTATTTTTATTGATTCTGTCTTTTTGTGTGTGTGTGTAGTTATCTCTAAAGATTTGTGTTTTAACATGTGAAATCTCGATACATTAAAAAGCGTTATACTAAAATAATGCTTGTTTGTCTGAAAAACAGATTCCTAAATTTAAACTTTGAAGCTTAGGCCTAAGCTTCACAGTAGCCTCACGAGTTTGAATCTTTGAAACATTAAACTGACTAAGTTTGTGTGGAATAAGAACTAACATTTGTACCGTAATTATTTTTATTTAAAAATAATTTGGTCATTTCTCTCTGATAATAACAGTGCTTACTCGGTGAAAATAGATTGAACACAAAAACTTTATATAGAAAATGGAAAACAAAAACTAAAGTTTATGGTCCCAATCTTTCTCGTTTGAGTTTTAATAAGATTCAAACACCATGTTCTTTCTATCTTTTTGTGAATCCGTTCTTTTCTAAATGCAAAGCTACACAATGAGCTATCTGTATTATGTCCACCGTGGGGAATCCAACCCCAAATTTTTGCGTTGTAACTTTGGAAATTAGTAGTCAATATATTGGTGGATCAGGATTGTAGAATAAGCCGTTTATCCTGTCGAATCTCTTGGAAATATCTATTTCCAATATGTTTATTAACACTCAGTGGCACTTATGAACAGTAATATCGTTATATAACACACACAGCATTCATTTTAAATAAAAGGTTTTTCTACTACACAGTGTTAACCCTTTTGTTGTGAAGTAACGTTAAAGAATATATATATAATAAAACACTATAAAGACGTAGCTGTAAGGTGACTTGGTAAAATTTATGTTGTTATCAGAGAAGCAATATTAATCTATTTTTTGATATTTAAACCTTCATTATAACCTACGGATATTTTTATCGTCCAACTAATTACTTCAGTCATGTTCATGTATTATTATTATTATTTGGGTAATTTTTGTAAAATCCTTATATTTCATTTACTCATCTAAAATAAAAATACTGTAACTCCTGACCATATTGAATTTTTTTACTTATTCTGTTTAATTTTCATAATTTCACTATTTTTAGTTAACTTCTGATTGTATCCAGCTTCAGCGTAATACAGACGGACGGCCAAATGGTGAGGCCTTAGTTACGTTCTCTTCGCGAGCAGAAGCAGAACGCGCCATCCAGGAAAAAAATCGTCAAAATATCGGAAACCGCTACATTGAGCTTTTCATGGCTTGAAATGATAGAAGAAGAAAAAACAAAAGAAACCGTCGCTATTGATGGCGATTTAAAGCAATATATATATATATATATGTATCGTTTAAAATCCAAATTTAGCTGTGAAGACAGTATAAGTGAATTGTTAAAACTTCTAAACTTAAGTTTTGCTCGGCAAGCAAGAGCGTGAGTATGTTAGTTTGCGTCTTTGTTAGTGATGTAAAGTACAACTACAAGATTAGGCCTATCTATTCGGTTCTTGCAAAGACAACAAAATCCGCGATGTCTTCCGTTCGACGTTCTTCGTTGTCATGAAGAGAAACGTTTGTATAGCTATTTGTTGTATTTTTAATACATGTTAACTTGTGTACTGTTTCAAGTGTATTGAGACGTTTTTGGATGAAGTACTGATAAACTTTTCTAAAGATTTTCTTATTAAGCGATATAGATAGTTTCAAACTCTTATTAAATTTTTATTTTATGTTACGTCATTTATAATCTTGTGTTCCAAATGTCGTTTCATAGAAGTTATTTTTATGAAACAACGACAACAAAAAATTGCATTACTCAATGTTATCACGTGCATTCCAAGTGCCTTAACGCATCCTATGTTGTGGAGTTTTAAAACTTTTTTGTTGTTCAATTTGTCGAAGCTCTAGTTTTAATCGACTGAGCAGCTATCAATAACAAATTTATGTTTGACAATTAAATTAGATCGTTGCTGTTTTTATTTTTAAGCGTGTTTTTTTTTTAATGTATAATATATTAATTAGTGAGTATTTGATTTGACAGTGTGGCACGATTTTAAATTGTATTATCTGTTCGTAACTATTAGTTCTACCATGTATATTGTACTAGGTAATACTGTTTATTAGCTTAAACGGACATAGCAATATAATTTTATGTGCTGATATTCTACACAACTTGTTTCAGACTCGGAGATTGTGACGATTTGGTTGTATCAATTCTTTGACAGTGGAATTACCTTTTGTGTTTTTGAACTGTGTTTCGAATATTTTGTGTATAAACTACAGTTACATGATATAATGAATGTACGTAAATTTTTGTACTTTGTTCGCCTTACCTACTGGGTAAGAGAAATCTGAAATATTAAACAATAAATATCCATTAATAAAATTTAAAAAAGAATCAAGAATTTTACATAATATTTGTACTGTTTCTTTTTAAATATTCATTGTAGCCGCAGTTTGACAGAGTAAAGGTTAAGTTTGAAATTAGAACGAGTATATACTTGAAATGTACTTAGAAATTTATTGTAATGTCTTTTTTTGTGTGTGTGAAGTTTTTCATGCTGATTTAGAAAGACTTGTTTATTCTATAAACCCTATACCCGTTCCTTCCAACTTTTGACAAAACTGTATCAATCCAACCCTACCGAATGAGATTGAAATATTTCAGTTCTTGTTGTAGTTTATTTTACTAAATAAGCATAAATAATTCTCTAGTTCAGTGAGAAGTTCTATTTGGCAATATTATTAATTATTTAGTGCTTTTAATTATTATTTGTTCGCAATACGGATCAAACAAGTGGATTATGATTAGTTTACACCTAGTCTTTGATATAAATATTCAACAGTTCACCTATGCCATAGATTTTTCGGAATGAACTGGTAGAAAATGAAAAGCTAGCTCTGTGGGTTGTGTATTTTAAAATTTACATACAAAATACTTGTTGAAGCTAAATAAACCCGTTCTTGTAGTAAAAATCTAAGTGCCTATAGAAGTAGAAAGAAATTAAGATATTTGTATATTTTTGAAAGAATTTTGAATTTCTTGTATTCTTCTACAATAAATACCTTGCATTAATTGTGGTTAAGATTTCTGAAAGTTCGACATCACACCTAACTATACGTAGAGCTTTTTATCTTGTTACGTCTCTGGTCGTTTGTTGATTTCCCGTATAATTTCTTTCCGATGAAATTTTAGAGATACAAGTACTTTCTTAAATAAAACTAGTTTATTCTTTCTCAATACAACTTTGCAATA